AGCATCCTTGTTGTACTTGCCAAAAGAGACAACAACATTGTAGAACAGGGTTTGGGGGTCAATTCGAGTATATATCTGTATGAGGTCCATATCGGACAATCTTGGAAATCATTCAGGCACATGGCTTGCTTCTGGGGCTCTGTTTGGCCCTTAGCAGGTTTAAGGCAGAGTTGACTTGGGCTGCAAAAGAGCCACAGAAATAAAAAAAAACAGGTCTGACAGGTGAAGCCAGCAGTCAATATGGTAGTTTCCCAAAATAAGGGGACCCCAATATAGACCCCAAAATACCAGAGTCCTTATTATAGGGACCCCCAGAAAGAAACCCCTAATTTTGGGAAACCTCCATATCCCCAGGCAGAAAGTTGACGGACCGGGGCCTTCCTGCGAAACGTCGATCCTCAAGCAGCTAGCAAGAGGGGGACAGAAGCTGCAAGGGACAAAAGTGCTTTGTGGGTGAGGGTTTAGGGCTTCGCTCGTGCTGTTTTCCTTATGTAGGAAAGGTGTGGCTCTCAAAAATGAATGTGCAGTATGCAGTCACTGTTGGTATACACCAGGTCGTCAATAGGCAGAAATCCGAGAGTAGTTATGGAATCATACATCCATACGAATCTAGTCTGCTTACATTATTGTAGTTGTGTATTGCTGCATCAGCGCCGCAGGAAACTGTGGGGATGGCGCATGGCGTCCGATTGCTACTATTTTAGCATCCTCCAGACATTCCAAGTTTAGGCCTGCGTTTCAGAAGCCGCATACTTCAAAAGCCATCGGGGAGGTATCCTCAGAAGCCTCGTGGAAGCCTAAGCCGAATAGCATGGTAGGATTAGTGGCCTTTTTTCAAGGATCCACATTACTTTTGCAAGGTGTGGAATATGGGTCCACTTGATGCATTCCGAAATAGCAAGGTATTCATAGGGGGACCTTCTGAACAATCCGCATGAATTAGCTTCATTGCTTGGTTCATGCTGTTCGGATTTTGGACAACTGTAAATGCATCTCAAAGAATCAGGACGTAATTCATCTTGCTTTTTCAAAAACAGCAAAGTAGTTTCAGTTTTTACCGATTTTTCTCTTTTATTAATAAGTTTGCGATATGCCGATGTCTTGGGCCAAACACAAAACAAACCCTGGTCACTTGGGGTTTTGCGGAAATTAGGGGAACTTTTTGAGGTCCCAATATGAAGGATAATAGTACTTTGGGGTCTATATTGGGGCCCCTGTTTATTGAAACTACCACTTGGGGGCTTCTGCTTGGAAAAGCAGCCTGAGCGCCAAGCCCCGAAAATCCATTCTCCCCAATCCTTGAACCTTCAGTCAGACCCAAATCACCGAACCCTACGTAGTAACGTTTTCCTATATATATATACACATTTCTATACATACATAGCCAGCAGTTAAAGTTACAGCTTCCTCAAACCAAGACTCGAATCCTCTGAACCCTTAAAGCCCCCATCCCCAACTCCTCAACCCTCATAGCTTAGCTTTGATGCCTGAACCAGATCAATCCTCCTGAAGCCATCAACCTCACATCAATTTCCAAAGCCAAGTCCACCAAACGAAGCTGTAAACCCTAATTAGGCCTTAATCCCCCCAATCCCGAAGCCCTAGCTAAGCATTCCTCATCCGATTAATACGTCCAAATACTTGATAATCCAAGTTTCCATTTCATTATATTTTCTTTCCCGTTTGACTCCTCAGTATTGGGGTGGTAACCCCTACATAACCGTTACTTACGTCACCCAGAACCTCGAAGAGCTTGCTATTTAGGATTCTGACCCTTAACCCCTTAAATTTTAAACCCTTAAACCCTAAACCCTAAAACCCTAAACCCTTAACCCCTTAACCCCTTAACCCCTTAACCTTACTGTGGTACACCATTTTTTTGCAGGCCGCGTCAAGGTTCAGCTGCTGACGAGCCGACCCGAGCTCTTTTCCAACTCGCGGCCACTGGTGCCTGGCTGGATTTTTTTATTTTTCAGGATTTAGGATTTGCAGGGTAGGCTTCAGGGTCTATGATTTTGGGTTCAAGGTTTGGGGTCTAGGGTTCAGTTGTTGTGGTCAAGGGCTTAGGATTCAGGGTTCAGGATTCGACAATTTCCGCACCATACAGGCAGACATCGTAAGAGGGGGTGCCATGTAGATGTAATGTTTCCAAATTTCACGTGTTTTCAGGATCATGCATACAGTTGATATCAAAGATCTTGCATACCCTTGACACCTCAACAAAAAGCCATTTTTTTGTTTCGAGATCCCGAAGTAGACCTGCAGTTGCTATTAGCATTCATCACGGGGAGCATCCACAATGTTGATGCTGCATGCTCCCAAGTACCCCATGACTTGGGAACTCGTCAGAAAGAATCATGCATAAATTCACAGCCGGTGACCAAGCTACCATATGTACAGGTATACACGCATAGGATGATTGAAGACATATGTAGTCCCCATGGTGCCAGCCTTACCTTGCTTCCATGCTTGCAATTCACTCCGAATCCTGCCACCCCAAGTCTTGAGCTATGCGCTGACTACCCGTAAGCCCTGAAGCATCCGCTTCGAACCCCAAACCGGGCAAGCTGAATTTCAAACCTCAGCCCAGATGCCGTAACAATAAAGCCCTAGGCCCCAAACACCACACCAGCAGCAATGCCCACGCTCTGTCTGCAGGTACGGTTTCCTGATGGTCAGACACAGGCTCCTCGCTGGATTCTTCCCCAAACTCCCCAAACCATTTAGGTGAGGCATTCTAGGACTCAAGCTGGAGTGGCAGAAGGCACTTGAGTCACGGGACTTTGGAGGTCTGTGCTGGAAGGCTTCTGCGGAAAAGCGCGAAAATGATAGCAGGTGGTCAGGGATGCTGTGGGACGACATAGTCCAAGCCTTTGGAGGAGTCGTATATTCGTCTCCAAGTATTCTTGGTTGGTAGATTGGGTGACTGGATCAAGGTGACTTCGTACCGTACAAGGAATACGAAAATTACATGCCAGGTCGTCAACACTGGCGTTGGGCCCATGCGGATCTAGAAAGGGTTTTCAGCCGGACACACCCGGGACGGGACAATTTGTAACCTAATGTCTGCAGGGGGAAGGAGGTGAGGGAAACAGGACATCCCCTGCAGGCGCTTTTGACAGCTCTGTCGGAAACCAATGTGAAATAGACACAAACACTTGCAAAAATACATCTTCATCTACGTCTACATCTGCATCTACATGTACATCTACACACATCTACATACACAGACATATACACATTCTCATAGAAGCAAAAGGTCGGGGTACCATTCGTTTGACCTCCACACAGCTGAGGAGGGGGTCCTCCACCGCGTCTCCCGGAATCCGGCAGAGCTTCATTCTCAGAGCAGGACATGATGCGTACTGATGTTGACGGACAAAATCCTGCATGCCGCTAAGCGCGTAAATTTAGCATAGTGCAGTCTAGGATAGCACAGTAACATGTATCAATGTTGTTCCAACAGTTTGGGTGTAGGGGGATAGGGAGGAGTTCTTCCACAGAGCTTCCATAGCAAGGACAGTAATTTTGGGATACGTAGTGTAAGGGGCCCTTATACTTCTTGAAATGATTCTTACGTCTTGGTACGCCTTCGCCAAGGACCTTTCCCAAGTCCACTTGACTTAGCTCTACAGCTTGTAGTGTGGAGGCTTTCCAAAATGAGGGTTCCCTTTCGGAGCTTCCTACAATGAGGATAGGTGTGCTGCGGGGGTGGAGGGGAGGGGGGGTGGGCTGCCTTCTTGAGAATACTTACATGATGGTGGTCATGTAATGTTAGGCAATACAAGAGACGTTGATGGCAGCAAGAAGCGCAACTATGCGAAATACAGGCCTATAAGAAGAGTGGGTCTATCCATAATAGTAACACTACTACTAGTCATAGTAGTGGTAATAATCATAGTGCTAATAGAAAAATGAAAGCAATAGTCGTAATAAGAGTAGTAGTAGCCATAATAAGAATAGTAATAGTACGAATAAACGCAATACTAGTAACCATGAATTGGGCAGGTTCGAGTATCAATGCGTAGGATTCTATCCGGATGATGTTATGTAGGCGCCCAAGAGCAGGGTAATTCCGCTCTGGCTGCGTAAAGAGTAGTGCTTTGGACCAGAAGCGCGGAACTCCTGCAGAAGTTTTGTTGAGATGTCCTTCCATCCTACGAGGACCATTGGAAGGAGTCTTCCATGTCTCCCTCTATGGTCATTTTGGCTGGTTATGCGGAGTTTTCAGCAGGCCCGGACGATCAGGAGAGACACCATAAACCATAAGGACTAGACAGTAAAACCACTAGACACCTGCGCCTTTGCAGAAGCAGTAGTTGACATGAGGAGGAGGGTGCTGGTCCAGCTTTTCCCTCCTCATACCAGATGCCCAACCGTAAGCCTTCCACTTCAGATGCTAACTAGCTGGCCGCTGAGTCTCATTCCGAATTCGGACATCGTCCTGTGGACCGGGCCCGTCACAAGCACCAAGGACAGCAGGTTGCTCTCCGTGCGCTAGAGTAGTGCTGGTGGTGGTAGTAGTAGGGGGAGGAAAAGTCTATAGAAGTAGAAGCAGCAGGGACAGTACTAGTGGTAGCATTATTATATTATACCAGGAGAGGAAGAGGAGGTGCAGCAGTCGTAGTGGTGGCAGTAGTAGTGGTGAAGAAGGTGGTAGTAGTCATCATGTTGCTGTTCGTGTCTGTTGCTGGTCGTCGTCCTGGCAGGATCGTCGTGTTAGGAGTTGTGGTCGTGTAGTACTTAAATGCCTGGGCTGCTGGCAATGAGCAGTTCTGAAGATCCGAAACAAAATGAGGTGTCAGGTTAATGACAGCAATTCTAGTCAGACACTCAAGAGTGCTGATAACAAAGGGACTTAATCGCATGGACTGAAATATGAGCATGACTGCGCCGAGCCTTGGCCCGTATCTGCTAGTTTGCGCGGGTCCCGTCACGGATCCGTGGCGACTCAGCCAATTGCGTTCGAGGCAGTTTTGCTGTGGTGGTAGGAGTGCCGGATGCTCAGCCCGCAGGAAGTCTTTGAAAACCTGCGGCCGTACTTGGATCCGCAGAAGACTTGCATTGGAACGATCTTCGCACAAGGCCGGTTCTGTCTGTGTCATCTTCCAAGTCCGTGGGTCGTGACTCAAGCATGTCTGAACGAACGTATCATCAGTGATGGTGTCTGTTTAGTGATAGTGACGCACGCGTGTAGCTTGCGACAAATAGCGCCATCATTCATGTTGGGCTTGTTCTTGACACTGCCTTTGCTGAAGCCTATCCCCTCAACAGCCTGCATCCTTCTCTCTCATCATAGATATTTGGTAAGACTGCACCTTTCCTTGGGATACCAATTTGCCCAACTTAGTATGTATCCAACAATTGCGAAGGCTAACCTCATCCGCAATTGATAAAGTGTCAGACCCAACGCAGAAGATAATGCCCATACCTCCAGCCTTTGCCCCCCTCCTGAAATGGTGGTCACCCTTATATCCAACAAGTATTCAAATCCCGTTAATGGGGATCACAAGAATGGGTCCCTGATTTCCAGAAACCCCAAACTACCACATATCCTTTTATCATCTTCATGATGTCCCTAAATAAACGTTATAATATACTTATATAATCTCCTATAACATCCCTATAAAGCCTAAACCCTAAAACGTAAACTGTAAACAAAGTTTACTCCCGCGCGGAGGCCTGGTTCACCTCTTAGCCCAGCGAACGTTTGGGCCCTCCGTGCGCAGAATCCTCAGGAAAGCAGAAGAGATATGGTACTACTAGCGCTATTCGTATTCTCAATAATCGAAACCGTAAAAATGATGATAGCAGTAGTGAGAGTAATACTAGTAATAGTAGCAATAACTGAAATAGTTCTAGAAATAGTGATGAAAGTGCTCATAGTAATAATCATTACAACGATAATGGTACCAGGCAATCCAAAACAGTGCATTTCTCAAAGTTAGGGCTCAAATGCACCCGATACGTTGCAGTCCTCATTTTGGGGGACCTGCAGCAAATGGCAATCAGAATTCGAGAGACCGCAACAGCGATGCGCCGCCACCATAGTCACCCCGACCCCTACCTCCACCTCGCTGGGGGTTAGTGGGAAATGAGGGAAACTGATGTATTATAAATAGGGATTGTGTAAAGGGATTGTATAAGAATCAAATTCCTCTCTTCTTCGCCGTTAAGAACCATTAAGCTACTGCATTAGGCGTCAGAATCCACTTGCACCACACAAGAAGAGCAGGCACGATAGCAGTAGCGTCATTAGCAGTGAGACACAAGAATGAGGAGTCTTGAAACAGAGGCGAAAGGGGGGGGTCCCAGCAGGCAGGATTGCCCGGGGGCAGCTTGTTCAAAGTCCGGCAGCATTAGGCATACTACACCTGTGTGGAGGGTGGGTGGGGGGTTAGAACTTTCAGACAGCACAGGAAATGGAGATCATGTGGGCCATTTTGAAAGTGTAAAGGCCGCACCATGTCGGTGGGCTGCCCGTATTGAAGTGACAGCTTTCAACATCAGAAATCTTGACGGCTTCAGGGTTGCTTAGATGAACGGTTATCAAAGGGGCGGAGCAGGAGACAGGAACCCGGAAACCTCTGCAGGCAGGGAGAACCAAAATATGTTGGAGTGCAAAACAGAGTTTGGACCCGCTTCTGGCCCAGGCTTCTTTGCCCTCCGCAACATCCCGTGGCTTTGTCGCGTTGTGAAGGCTGCCGGCACTGCGGTAAGGGATTGCAGTGCTGGTAGGCTTCCGCAGCGCTCGGTAGGCTTCAGCCGGAATAGCTTTGGAACTTTTGCTGCAGGACTTCCACAGATCTCGGGGCTTAGTCTTACTTCCAACCTGCCTGACTCTAAGCCCAACGATTCTCAACCCCGGTCCCTGAAACTTGAACCTCTAAAGCCTAAACACACCTCACAGTGAGCCCTCGAGCCTACCCCCCAAAAGCCACAGCCGCAACTTCCTCTGTCTGGCCAGGTGGGTGTTGAGAGCGAGATTGTCGGGGCAAAGAGTTCCATAGGACCCGGGGATGCTTGCTAAATGGATCATCAGAGTCATGCGACTTCTCCTGCTAGGACTTCTAGGAACTGGTACTTGTCATCATGAGGGTCATGATCGTGATAGGAGCAGTTGCAATGATGCTAGGCATACTAATCGTGATCGTGAAAGTAGTAACACCCGTGAAAGCCTAGCCAGATCATGGTGGGCAAGCTGAACAAAGCCGTGTACTGGCAGTGAAGGGACCACTATTCTTGTTGCTTAAGTTGGGCTTTCAGTCAAAATTCAGGCAGCAGTAGCAGCGCACACCACCCAACCCCAAGATGCCTTCCACTCGGTGAAAACTCGGAGGAGCCTCAGCACTAAACCGCAACACGTAAAACCTGGAATCCTCAACCCTACACTTGGAGGCGTCATGACCATGAACATCACTGAAGAGTGGGCCACGGTCCAAGCGGCGTCAGGCAAAACTTAAACACGACAAGTGTATACATGGGCTGATATGGTCTCCTCGTGAATGCGGGGGGCTTCGTATTAGGGGAAGGGATTCTTCGTGAGCGGACAAAAGCACGCGGTTATAACTACATAAAGAAGTGACGGGATAAGCGTGCCCGGGACAGAGGGCATAATACATCAACTTACATGCCGTATGCACGCGGTAAATTAGCTGCTAGGGTCCCAAGTCGCGAAGGATTTCCTCCATCCAAGTTTTAGCCTATATCGCATGCCCACATGCGTCAAAGGGATCCTTTACTCCAACTTGGGCGTATCCCAATTAACCTAGTCCAACAACCTGAACAGGGAACAACACACCAATGTCCCCCCAAATCTGAACTCCAAGCCCTAAACACCGAAACATTCCGACCATGCTTGGTCTACATTCTTGGTCTACACTGGACATGGGGGTTTCCCTAGTGTCATCATATGTAACTATAGAAGCTTATATATTGTAGTTTCCAGTAGCCCGCGCTCTCTCTTTCTTTCTCTCTCGCTCTCTCTCTCT